CTGATATAGTGTACATAGCAATCCTGTGTATGGCCCCTGATATAGTGTGCATAGCAATCCTGTGTTTGACCTCTGATATAGTGTACATAGCAATCCTGTATATGACCCTAGATATTGTGAGCATAGCAATCCTGTGTATGACCCTAGATATAGTGTACATAGCAATCCTGTGTATGACCCCTGATATAGTGAGCATAGCAATCCTGTGTATGACCCCTGATATAGTGTGCATAACAATCCTGTGTATGACATTTGATATAGTGAGCATAGCAATCCTGTGTATGACCCCTGATATAGTGAGCATAGCAATCCTGTGTATGACATTTGATATAGTGTGCATAGCAATCCTGAAATTTATTCCTGGTCTATATTCATAGGAAACTTGTGTATGATAAAACTGATTTATTCACTCATATATCAAACCAATGTAAGCGATTCGCAGACATCGGTTCAGCCCATTAATACTTGCAAATGTTTTATATACGAAGTCTTATCATTCATCAGCTTAATAGCAATGAAACGAAAACGAATTGTTTTTGGTAAACCAAAAGATATTTTATTTAAACAAAAATACTTAGGACAACTTTTACAATTGTGTCTGGTCACCACTTCACTGAGATGTTTATATAAATAACACTCATTCTCTGAAACTCGTTAAGTCAAAGAATTGGAGTTGATAGACATTTTCAGAATTTGTTGCATAATTAATAACGTATGTGTGTTGTGGTCCGTTCTCTGCATTTTTGAATTCGAACACGCGCTGCGAGACGACCACCACGCTTTTAGTTACGAAGTTGAAAGCAGTATAATTCAGTATTAACCAGTGCGATTCAGTATACAGTATATCGTGAACATGATTTCCCGAACCATTACTCGTATTAACTTAATCGGGGGTTATTTGTTTTGAATGAGTTAATGATACTAACAATACATATTCAATAGTACCATTAGTGTTGGGTATTATTCATCCATCCGTCACAGGCTGGAAACACTGCCCTCGGTGTTGATATATCTAATTACTCTGTTTCCGTATTGTGTGTTTATTAGACAATACACATCTGAAAACCCGTATTTTGTAAGGCTTGCTTGACATAATTTGTATCCGTGTTGATATAGAGTACATACATCAAAGTCGATGGCACGACATTTTGCATGGAAGGGCGGAGATGTGCTCACCACTCCATCACGCATACTAATACATGGGTATACTCCCCCTTAAAAATAAATTTGAAATCTAGACTCTCTGAAACGCTATTTCCTGCATTTTGATGGGCAAATTTTGCTGACAAAAAGGGTTTCAGCTTGATTTTTTTTGAGGGGCGACCGCCCCCCTCTGACCCCTGTGTCACCGCCACTGTACATACCAGAATGTATTCTGCACATCGACAACCTGTTGTCGTCAAATCCTACATGGTTTTACGACGATAACATGTCAGTTTGCGGTGAGGAGGCTAATTACATAGCAGTGTCATATACATATGTAGCAGCATTCTGGATACAAACCCATTGTAAGATTTCATTGCATTTTGCTGGTTTTCATAATTCATGAATCGCAGACCTTTATGCAAATTTCCACACTGGCAGTTTTCAGACACGCTGAAAAAGTCTATGAGATGAATGGGTAATGAGCTCTTGTTACTATGGAGATAATCGCCAACAAAACGTTTTGTAATGTTATTTATTTTCTCGAGGCGTGGTTTTGCATGATAACTACATCTCGCGAGATCACTGCCATCTGGTGACGTGATCCACACTATCTGACCACTGTCTTTGACCAAAGTCTGGATTTTTTCAATAAAAGTTGGTAAGGCGTTTTCATATCCTACAAACACATCTTTATGCTTTGGGTGAAGGCGATCAAGTGGAGCCACTTCATGAACACCGGTTGAAGTAATCAGTAAATCTACTTTTCCGTGCTGCAAAAGGATATCGTGCAATTCACTTTCAGTGTGTTTATTGACGCAGTCAATCCCACATCCAAGCGGACTTGCCATCAAAATACTATAACCAACCATAGTGTGCTGCTTGTTGATCGAACGCCAGAATGTGGTCACTGATCGTCGCATTTCCATCTCCTGCTGTGTCATGTCCCAGGGAATGGGTAGTTTATTGTCTTTGTACATGTACAACTGAATTATTTCATTTGCTATTTCCTGTGTTATCGAATCTCCCACAACTAAAATTACTTTGTCCCGAAAACATTTGTTAAACTCCCCAGGGGTAAATATTTTATAATGACAGTCGTAGGGCGCCCATACGCGGCCAGAACTTGCTAGTACATCAATGTTGCCGTCGCAGACTTTACCATCACAGCCGTCTGGTGGCGTACTCACCCATCTCCCTGTAACATTTCCTGATTTACATAAAGGAGTGGAGTCGGATTTATAAAATGGACACGTACTATTGTCATTAACAATAAGAGGAACTGGCGTTTCAGCAATACCAGTGTCCACACAACGAGCACCTCTAGTGTTGATCATATCTCCATACATAACACGATGGGCATTTTCACCATGTACAAGTAATATTTCTAAATAGTAAACTCCCAGCTGTAAAGGTGGTATTAATAACTCAAATTTGTCCTTGCCGGCCCACCTGACTCTAACATTGTTAAACATTAGTGTATATGCCTTGGCGCCGGGGTAAAACTGTAAGTCTGGTCCTAACACCCGTGCTTGCATGTCCACCCAGGGTCGACATCGGACCATGGTGTTTTTTAAGCTCATACCGTATACATATAAAGTGGTTGGCTGGCACGCTGCCAAGTATATCTCATGGTGTCCGTCTTTCGTCAGAAACTGAACTGCTTCATTACTTAACATAAAATATTCAGGATATTCTTCCAATGAACAAAATTCATTGTTTTCGGTAAACCTTGTTACATCATTATCTACAATTGTCTCATTTGCATTGTATTCTGCCATAATTTTCAGTTCCTGAATATGATCATCAAATCCACCAATTAGTCGTTCCTGGAATAGCGAACAAACAAACAGTGTAAATTATAGTGGGAACTACAGTACAGAGAGGGCGATCTGGCCAAACAATTTCTCATCGGAAGGAATTGGATTATGTTAGGGACGACGTCAAAAGATCGATGTCGGATAAAAAAAACTTATTTGCTTTAGTTTGGGGGTGAGGGTTTTGACCTCAAATAGTTTCCATCCTACAAAAACGATTTTATTTTTTAATGAAGTCAAAAACAATCCTGAAGTATTTGCAGTTCGTTTTTTTCTATTTATTTATTTATTTATTGCTTCCCTTTTGTAACAGGGGCTCACTATGTAAACTAGGAGCTGCACCAAAAAAAAAAATACATTTCACTCAAAGACTAATGAAAAAAAAAAACTTTTGATAGACAAAAAGAAATTAAGTTACATGAACTAAGATAACAAAATATAACAACAACAAAAAAAACATC